GTTTCAAAGTTAGAATTTTCAATCTGTTAAGATTAGGAAACTTAATGCAAGAAGGATGTTTCAAGGAGCTGATCTCCTTTGGAATGCTCTGTAATGATTGTTGTCAAGTCTTTATGAATTTGTGCATAATCATTACAAGAGGATCAATGCATATAAGTTTAGAATCTAACAGATTTCAGTAAATGACATGAATTTGGAATTCTTGCATTTGCAGTAAGGATTTGGGAGTGTGGGAAAAGAATCATTGAAGTTATGTTCAATTGATCTAGTTCACAAAGTAAAGATCATAGACAAACATAGTATGCATACTTGGTGTATGGCATGACTAGTGTTTAGAAAACATAGTGTACATGCTTGGAGCATGGGACAACTATTGTTTTAAATTCAAGAATAATGTTGATAGCTGAAACAGTATACAATGAATAATGTGTAATCATATGGTGATAAATAAAAGGTGTTTTATTTATATTCATAAGTTCTGAGACCATATTGGATTCAATTATTATTGTGTTTCACTTTGCATGTTTTGACTTCCCAAATAAACTAGGTTATTCTTCCGGAATGACTAAGTTATTCAAACCATCCACAGTCGGTCATATGTTGGAAGTAGATATGAATTAAGACTGTCATGGGTTGGCTTGTAGAGGTCTAAGGTGTTGGACAAATGGCTACAACACTCATGAGTGCTCATAAGTTCTGAGTATTGGATTCAACCGCGCTCATTGGAATCACTTCATGGATTTTATCACGAGTGATCATGAGACGATAATATCTTATATTCTTCAAACCTAGAGATATGAGTTGTTACTATGAGTTGGTTGTACATTGATTGCACGAAACTGCATTTGGTAACTCGGTGCTATAAAACGTGCCTTTGTGTATGATTCAACAAGTAGTAGAACAAGCCATATGAGTCGAAGTTTATCCATTCCTTTTACCTTCGGGATAAAAGCGATATCTGTGGGCCCCTCGATGATTTGATGATGACAAATGGAAGTGCTCGGCCGGGCCAGACTGATTTGATTTGTTCAATTAGTCAGTCGTCATAAATCGGAAATCGGGAAACAACAAATGGACAGAGAGAATGATTATAATCCATGTCTCAGTCCATATGATATCTAGAATGGAGGAATATATGATCCCTTATCTAATGGACAAGTCATTGACAAGATCAGAGTTCATCTACAAGGTCAGAGTTCGACAGAAGCTTTTGAGAGCTACGATTGCTAGTTGGTTCCTGAAGTCATACGCAATAATAGTTTTAGACTTATCCAAGTGGGAGACTGTTGGATTAATGTCTAAGTCCATAACTATAATTGGTAAGACTTGACCCGACCCGGCATGGTCCATTTGGGTTGCATACCATCATGCACATGGATAGACTAAATGAGAGAAATAAGACACTTATGGTTATTAATATATTATAAGTTCTAGTATATTAATAATAAGAATAATGAGATTATTTAATTAGTATTGATCAAGAATTAATCTAGCATTAATTGAGTGATCAAAAGAAGACTAATTAAATATGTGGGTTGATTGTGTAAATCATCCATACTTGTATAGTGGGCTAATGCTCCATGGATTATCTAGTTGGGCCAAAACCCATATGATGCTCCATGGACGCTCCATGGTGTATTTGAACCCATGGATCCAAGGAAATGGAAAGTCATGACAATTAGGGTTTACCCTAATTGTATAACTATATAAGCATCTTATTCTTGAGGAAAATCGGACACTAGAGAGACTAGTATTATTCTTGAAGAGGGCTAGCCGATTTCATAAAGTGTAGAATTCTCTCTAAGTTATTCTAAGTGTTTTGATGATTGTGAACCATTTGAGGTGTCACACTTGGGGCACTAGGCACTCAAGCTTCATGAAGACAAGCACCATCAAAGAGGTATGTATTCTATCTTGTTATATTGATAATTTTGTATGCTAGTTTAGGATAATACCTTGGATATTCATATTTGCGTGTATAATAGAGAAAACATAGATCCAAGGTATTTAGGGTTGCATGTACACTTAGGAGTGTTAGAATGCTCATAACCCAACAGAGATATCATAAATGAGTCGAATACCTTATGCTTCGGTTGTAGGATCGATCATGTATGCAATGACGTGTAGTCGACCTGATGTAGCCTTTTCTTTAAGAATGGTTAGCAGATATTAGGGGAACCCTAGCAACGCACACTGGACTGTGGTAAAGAATATCCTCAAGTACCTATGGAGGACTAAGGACTGGATCCTTACCCTCGGTGGGAGTGATGACTTGAGAGTTGTAGGGTATACTGATGCTAGCTTTCATACTGATAGGGATAATTTCCGCTATCAGTCAGGCTGGGTCTTTACCTTGAACAGAGGAGCAATTACTTGGAAAAGTTCCAAGTAGGAGATAGTGGCTTATTCAACTTGCGAATCATAGTATATTGCAGCAAGCGAGGCAGAGAAGGAGGCTATATGGCTACAGAACTTCATTGGAGACCTTGTATTTGTGCCATTTATAAAGGACCCTATGGAAATTTTCTGTGATAGTGAAAGTGCAGTTGCCTTAGCCAAGGAACCAAGGGATCTCGGGAGATCCAAACACATCGACATAAAATACCATTTCATCAGACATAGAATACAAGAAGGACTCCTCGTGGAAAAGAGGGTATCATCGGATGAGAATCCAGCAGATCCCCTCACGAAGGGACTGACTCGGGTTAAGCATCTTCAACATGCTCGGAGCATAGGGCTGAAGGATGATATTAGTTTTAGTAGTTAGATAATTTTTGCAAATTTGTAAAGTGTAATTGACGTTAAATGATGAATAAATGGTGTGAGTATTTATGAGTAAAGTGTTGCTATCTGTTGTCAATCGTTTACTATATTTCTATTGCATGTTTTGACTTGCGGAATAATTATGTTTGGTATATCATATTTTTCGAACCTCCACAGTCGGTCATATGTCGGAAGTAGGTATGAATCAAGAATGTCATGATTGGTTGCAGAGGTCTAAGTTGTTGGACATGGATACAACACTCATGAGTGTTCATAAGTTCTGAACATTGGACTCAACCCACACTCACTGGAATCACTTCATGGAATTTATCTCGAGTGATCGTGAGACAGTAATATCATATAAGTATTTAAACCTAGAGATATGATTTGTTTCCTATGATTTGGTTATGCATTGATTGTACGAAAATGCATTGGTAACTCGATGTTATAAAACGTGCTTTTGTGTATAATTCAACAAGCAGTAGAGAAAACAGATGAGTTGAAGTTTATATGTTCCTTCTTGGATTAGAAGCTAATATCTGGGCCCCTCGATGATTTTGTTTTGACCTATGTAACAGGCCCGGTCAGAACCAAATTGATGTGTTCAATTTAGTTCTATGTCAAACAAATCAGAAATCGGGAAACAAACTGCTGGACAATAAGTAAGACATTGTTCCATGTATTTGTCCGGCTGATATCTAGAATAGAGGATTATATGGTCACTTATCTTAAATGGTGTATGATCATCTTCTCAGTTCCAAGAGACCTTGAAAGATCTACGATTGTTGATCGGTTCCTGAAGTCATACTTGCAGTTATATTTATTAGACTTATCCAAGTGGGAGACTGTTGGATAAGGTGTCTAAGTCCATAATTATTTCTGGTATGTACTTGACTCGACCCAGCATGGTCCATTTGGGTTGCATGGCATCATGCATTTGGATAGACAAAATGAGAGAAATAACACTTGTGGTTTATTAATATATTATAAGTTCTAATATATTAATAGTATTATTTAATTAGTATTGATCAAGAATTAATTTGGAATTAATTACGTGATCAAAATTTAACTAATTAAATATATGGGTTGATTATGTAAATCATCCATAACTTGTATAGTGGGCTAAAAGGCTCCTTGGATGATCAAGTTGGGTTAAACCCATAGGATGCTCCGTGGATGCTCCATGGGACTTATAAACCCATGGGTCATGGAAATGAAGAGTCATGACACATTTGAGTTTACATGGTGTAACCCTAGATGTGTCAACACTATATGAGTAACACCTTCTCCACCAAAATCGGCTACACAAGTACAAGTGAGGGCTAGGCCGATTTTTTGAGTGTTTTGTATTCTGTCAAAAGTCATTGAAAAAGCATTTGGTGTTGTGTGAAGCATTTGAGGCATCACACTTGGGGTGTTAGGCTCACAAGGTGTCAAGGAATCAAAATCAACTACAAGGTATGTAATTCTAGTCATTCTTTTAGGGTAAAGTTCCCTGTATATGCTAGATAGGATTATGAACCTTGAAAATTGTATTTTGCATGTATTTAAACAAACATAGATCCAAGGTTTATTAGGGTTGCATGTACACTTAGGAAGTGTAGAATGCTCAAAACCCATCAAAATATTCATATACGTTTATCACTTATTCACGATATAATGAATTTAAACTACAATCATATACTTTATAACTATGAATTTCACACATGCAATCATACTTGATTTTGACATCATTTTCAGACAATTATAGAAAATATCAGATTTTCTGGGTTTTTACGAAAGATACAAACATTTTTATTCAACCATACTTATGAACTCACCAACATTATATATGCTGACCGTTTTCAAAATAACTTGTATTCTCAGGTAATCGTTAAGCTGGAAGAATTGCAAGTGTGTTTGGTTTTGTTTATGTAAAATCACTTGTCATACTTTTAACAATTTGAAGTTATGTAATTTAACAATGTACTTGATGTAAACAATTGGAAGTTATGATTATTCAATTGTTAGTCACACGAGCCCCCAGACGTTTCCGCCGTCTGGTTCGGGGTATGACATATGATTGAACACGTTATCTTTTCTCCCATTTCTTTCCTTATACTGGTGCTAAGGTTTATCTTCATGGCTATTTTATATGATTCTAGAAAAACAGTTTCTTTGATGAGTATTCTGGACCTAACGACACTGTTGTTTGTGGGAATACCACAAGAAAAAAGTTGCTTTTTTTTCAAGATTCAATGAGGCAAGTTGTTTTGAAATATGTGACTGATGCGTTGACTAATGTTGACTACTTTGCAAGAGAAGTTACAATTTCTGGGACAGGAAATGAGTCAGTTTATGTTATGGCAAACTACAGAGCTCATTATGAAGGAACCGAGCTTGAGATATGGGAGAGACAGGAGGCAAATTACATGCTTTTGTTGCAACTGCAGGGACAGGTGGCACTATGGCTGGTGTTTCTTGCTTTTTAAAGGAAAATAATCCAAGGATAAAGTGTTATCTTGTGACCTCCTGGTTATGGCTTCTTTTACAAAGTTACAAGAGGAGTGATGTATACAAGAAAACAGGCTAAAAGGAAGAGGTTATAGAACCTATTTGATATTGTCACTGAAGGAATATGGATCAATAAATTGACTGAGAATTTCAATATGGCTCGACTTGATGGAGCTTTCAGGGGTAATGATATTAAGGTTGTGGAAATGCCAAGGTATGATTGAAAGTTTGTCAAAATTATTTTGTTTTTATGAGTTGTAATACTATTTGTTTGTTCCTTTTTTATCATCAGATTCCTTTTGAAGAATGATGGGTTGTTTGGTGGAAGTTCTTCAATAATGAACTGTATTGGATCTGTTAGAGTGGCTAAATTTTTGGGTCTAGGTCATACGATTGTAACGATTTTGTGTGATAGTGGGATGGTGTAACGCCCGCAGATCCGGGCTAGTCAATTTAGAGGCAATAGGGGTCAAAAATGACTTTTCGACAAAAGATTATTTAGAATGAATAGTCTTAACCAAGTTTTAGAATATGTCACAAGGTTTCCGTACATATAAAGAACGCCGAAATCCGAGTTATAACGAAGAAGTTATGGCCCGCCGTAGTTTTACGGCAAAACCGGCACGGCACCGGAAGACGTAAATAGTGAATTTACGATAGAAGACTTTTTAGCCTTAGCAATCTAAACAAAAGTCGTAGAATATGTTAAACTAAGAGCGTCGATAAAAAGAACGCCCAAATCTGACTTCGTATGAGGAAGTTATGATTTTTCTAAGATTCGGCTTAGTAGTGTACAGCCCGAAACTCGAATTTTAGTTCGAGCGGTTTTTGGCTTACGTGAAATAAATGAGAGTTGAAGATCTCATTAATAGGAACTCAATGGTAAAAAGACAGACGAAAACGGAGTCCGTATGAAGGAGTTACGAATTCTTCACGGTCATTTAACAGTCTAAACGCCTCGTACTGTTAAATTTAAGATCGGTCGAGAATTAGCCGACAGAGTCAAAATGAAAGTTGTAGATATTATTTTTACCTACGCGTGGATATAAAGAACGTCAAAAACGGAAGTTGTATGTGAAAGTTACGGATTTTAGAAGTTGGAAGTATGTTGTGTGAAAATGGGTGATGTGGCACAATCTTGGCCATTGCTTTCTCCCCAAGTCTTGCCACTAGATGGTGACATGTGGCACCAAGTTCAGCCATTTTCACCCTATAAATACCACCTCTCCCACCCTCATTTTCTTCACACCTTTCCCATTCTTTCTTCTCTTTACTCTCTCTCTAGAACCTCTCTCTAGCCTCGAAATCCCCCGAAAAGCCTAGGGAACCTCCCTAGCACGAGGCGGAAGCCCTGGAGTGCTCGACAGCTCCGAGAAGAAGAGCTTTTCGGCTCGGAAACGCTGCTTCAAGCAAAACCTGGTTTTCTATAAAACCCGCTGTAAGTGAGCTACGCCTACGCTATTTTTAATATAGTTTTTATTTAATTATATTAACGTTATTAAGAACATATAATAAATACTTGGGCTATTATTATGGGTTATGTAAGTATTTTTTTAACGCTTATATAATAGTAATAATAGCTAGACTATTAATTAGTCTCGGCGAATAATAGACTAAAATCTATTGGTGATAATACTAGGTTTCGTCGAAGGAAATTATTTTAAAGTAAACGAAGCGCTGTCCGAGTACCGAGTCACCACCTTCTCAGGTGAGTGCATAGTCCCTTTCATGAACATGATTTTAATACAAGTATTGATTGAAGTATTAATTATATGTTTATGTGCGAGTTAATTGATGTTGCTTGAAATTCGTGTTAAAGAACATACCTGATTATATTTGATAATTTAGGATAAAGAGTAGACCTAAATTAAAAATGAGGAATATTGGGTAGTATATTCTTACGAGTACAAGTGAGTAAAACTCAGAGAATAGAAGTTAGTATATATCACTTATCCGGGAGTATGGATTAGACATAGTCATTGTCCCTAGTCCGAGAATATGGATTAGGCATAATCATTCGTCGTTAATCCGAGAGTATGGATTAGCTATTGTCCCTAGTCCGAGAGTATGGATTAGGCATAATCATTCATCTTTAATCCGAGAGTATGGATTAGTCATTCGTCCCTAGTCCGAGAGTATGGATTTGGTAAATTCGTTCATTTCTGATCCGAGAGTATGGAGTAGGTAAAACGACTAATCTTAGGTCCGAGAGTATGGATAGCCTCGTTGCGAGGATTGATGGGGTGGGATAAGAGTTGTTTATATATATGTATGGTGAAATTGTATATTTTGTGAATTTTTAACTATATATATGGTATAACATTGTGGGATTGAAATCCCTATGTGCTCACCAGGTTTCCCAACCTGACCCACTCAGTTTATTTATATCACAGGTGTTGATATGAAGTGACATTACACTAAGAGATTTAAAGAGATGTAAACCACTAGTGTGAATAATTGTAAGTTCTGTTTATGCTTATGTTCCTGTATTAACGATGACGTCCCAAACGTTTTAAAATGAAATAAATACGTTTCTTCGAAAATGTTTTAATAACGTATTTACCATGTTTTTCTGGGAACAAATTCCGCAACCTTTTTATAAAATGAAGTACTCTGATTTTTATAAAGCATAAACAAAATCGGTCTTTTCTGGCCGTGATTTTGGGGATGTCACAGATGGGGCATTTAAGCAAGTTTTGTAACCTGGAGTACCTCTCTCAACATGGCTTGACACCCTCTGTAAAAGTATTACAATTTCTTGATTGATTGTTAAGGTCCTCTCACTCAGCCATACATGTATATTCAATAGGCAGTGAGAATGATCCCAGAATTATTCACAAAGTTGTCAAAGATATTTTTGCCAAGATTGACATGGTACATAACTATATTCTTATAATTTCACTAGTATATATATTTTTTGGAAATTACAATATGATTTTGTTGATTTTGGTTTAGATATATGTTCAATCGATAAAAATGGATGATGTCACATGTGAATTAATTTGGATGTGATTCATATGTTTACATGTGAATTACATGTGATTCACATGTAAATCACATGCGAATCACATATGAATCACAAGTGAATCATATATTAATCACAAGTAAATCACATGTAATTTACATGTGAATCATATCACATGTAAAACACATATAAATCACATATGAATTACATGTGATTCATATGTAAATCACATGTAATTCACATATGAATCACATTCACATGTAAATCACAAGTGAACCACATATGAATTACATGTGATTCATATGTAAATCACACGTAATTTACATATGAATCACATGTTATTTACATCTGAATGCGATTCATATGTAAATTACTAGTGATTTTCATGTGAATCACATGTAATTTACATATGAATCACATGTGATTGACATGTAAATCACAAGTGGATCACATATGAATTATATGTTATTCACATATAAATCACATGTAATTCACGTATGAATCTTAAAAGAGACAATAACATGTAAATATCATATTATATAATCACATATGAATTTTACATGATATATACATATGTATTTTTGTGAATATTCTTGCATTAATCAATTTTTTTTTTAAATTTTCTTGTTGATTGCAAGATTTTGTAGAAAATATTAAAGAGATGAAACGTGATAAATTGAATAAAGTATGAAAATCTTGACATAAAGACATGGAAATTCTTTGAAAATATGTAGTATTTTTTGTTTTTTATATCTTATTTTGTATTTTTAATATACTTAGACTATTCTGTTTATAGATTAGTAAATAATTTTTTTTTTTATGATTTACTTATAAATATCATAGTATAAGAAATATGAATATATGCCCTTAAACTTTGATTTTTTTGTTAAAAAGTTATAGTTTTTTATGTTAAATATTCTGTATATATATATATATATATATATATATATATATATATATATATATATATATATATATATAATATATATATATATATATATATTTTAATTTACTAATTTTTTAAATTTTATTGTTTTTAAAAAACTATGGTTTTTTTTTCCGAAAAAAAAAAAAAAAATTTCAGTTTTTTTAATTTTTTATTATTTTTTATTTTTTAAATTTCATGTTTCTAAAAAAAATCAAAATCTGCATATTTTTTAAAATTCAAAAATTATTATTATTTTTTTTTAATCCAAAAAATTGATTTATTATGATAATATTTAGACATTTTTATTAATATTTCCAATAACGTAAAAAATCAAATATTAAATAAAATTGATAAAATGACGATCATGCCTTTAATGAGTTAATTTTGATCTAACGCTCCACATTTAGTTCTCGGGTTATCGGGAAACTATGAATTTTCAACGGATCTTAACGGGGGTGTGTGTGTGTGTATGTGTGTCTATATATATATATATATATATATATATATATATATATATATATATATATATATATATATATATATATATATAATATATAATATATATATATATATATATATATATATATATATATATATATATATATATATATATATATATACTAGTCGTCTACCCGTGCAAAGCGGCGAACGGTGAATAATTTGATCTCTTTAGAGTTAAAACCATTTTGCGTTCACTTCGAGAAATAAATATTAAATGACATCTATTTTTCAAGAACATTATTATACCATATTAAGGGGGTGTTTGGCTAAACTTTTTTTAAAACAACTTATTAGGTTCCACATCACTATAAGTTAAAAAAGTGTTTGGATTAAAACAACTTATTCCGGTGGGGAACCTCTAATACGTCATTTTTTCAAAAGTTACCCTACATTTACTTATTAACTTATAAGCTAATAAACTAATAAGCAATAAATTTTTTTTGCCAAACAACCCCTAAATGGTTATTACTTCCATTTATACATACGCAAACCACTTGTACTGTTCATTGTTCTCTCTTTTTTTTTTTTTTTTGTTTTCCTTAATTCCTTTATTAATTTAATGTCCTAATAAATAAAATCCTAAAATATATAAATAATAGTTTATAAAAATAAACCTTTAGAATATCAGGTGTGATTCAAAAGTCGATAAATAGGCATTTGAGAATGCCAAAATACTCAAGTGTCAACTTGTTCATTGTGATTTTAAACCAAGTTTGGTCACAAATTAAAACATTTTCAACGATAGTATGTAATTCAAGGATTTATATTGATTTAGGTTCTCGAAACCTTAAAATATTGAACAAAATCTATATAGAACCTTATAATAAGGACAATAATCACCGTAATCAGGAAGTCCATATGATGAAACTTGATATTATAAGGACTAATGATGAAAAATGTTTCATTTTTAGATTAAACAAGATGTAAAATATACAAACTACCTTAATCATGTCAAATCTTGTGTTTAACCGTTCTTTATTACAAAAGTAAGATGCCAAAATATACAAACTAATGATAATACAATGCTCTAACTG